TTATAATTTAATTAATTAAAAAAATCCTTCCTTCTTCCCTATTCTTTTTATATCAAACACAATATTAAGGATAGGTTAAGAGGACCACCATTTGTTATTGGGTGAAAACCTGCATTGAGATGGTTTTATTATTAAAAAATTGATAAAATTTATGTTTATATATATATATATATAAAGGTTTGTATCCACCTTGTACCTTTTATGGGGACTATTCACATAATTAGTCCCTGAAGCGTACTTATATATTTGACTCCTGTCTGTTGTGCTTTTCGAAAGTAAGCGGGAAAACATGCAAAGTTTAAGCCTTTAAGATGATATTTACACTGCGCCACACACTCCCCATCTTCATAATCCGGTGATGATGAGAATTTCTTGATGAATCAGTTTGAAAAACCGGAAGCAAACTCGGGCTTGATTTCTTGAATTCTTAGAAGGGTTTGGTATGTGTTTTTAGTGATTTTTGTTTTGGACATGGTATAAAGATGGGATTTTTATTATCTGCTGAAATTCATATCTTCCGTTCTTGGGTTTTTCCGGTTTGCAGTTTTAGGGCTTCCTGTGTTGTGGGGATTATCATTTGTGGAAGAGGAAGAGATGGCCAACCAGCAGGATATTGAGAAGGGAAGCACCCACTCGCTAACGGAGCAGTTGATAGAGAAGGACAGCTCATCACTTGATGAGAATGGAGGTGGCAGCCTGGTCATGGTTTTTGTCTGTGCTTTCTTTGCAATTTGTGGGTCTTTCGAGTTTGGCTCAACCGTAAGTTTGGGTTTTTGATTAATCATTTTTTTAATCTATATATCATTGGGATTTTCATTCACAAAATGAGATTGGTTTATTGATTAAAAAAGTTATTTAATGTGAGGGAATGAGAATGTTTCAGCAAAAAGTTTAGGAGGAATATCTGAAAGTAGTGTCTCTAGAATTTCTGTGTATAACTTAGCATTTTGCTAATGGTATAAGCTTCAATGATTTGGAGTAGAATCGGTAAAATCATAGTGTGATTGTTTCTGTACAAGTTACAAATTGAGAACTTTTAATTTTGCAGATTGGATATTCTTCGCCTACACAGTCTGCTATAATGGAGGAACTTAAAATGTCTTCTTCAGAGGTATCTCAGCTAGTCTGCTACTAATTGAGATTCATCTGAATTATTATTTTTTTTTAATGAGCTACTACAATGATTCATGCATGGAAAATTCATTTAACATGAAAATGTATTTACTAAGAGACTTGTTGTTGGCAGTTCTCAGTCTTTGGATCCATATTGAATATTGGTGCAATAATTGGTGCAATCACGAGTGGAGGAGCTGCTGATCTGCTTGGGCGAAAAGGGGTATATATCAGCATGTGTATTAATAACATTAGAATATGCAGGTCTTTATAAAATGTGTGGCTCATTAAATTGGTGGTTTTACCATTGTTTGCAGGCAATGTGGATGTCATCTGCTATCTCTATTGCAGGGTGGCTGATAGTTTATCTTTCTATGGTCAGTGCTATTTCCATTCCTCTATTAGTCCTATTTAATGGTTTTCTCTCATCTGAAAAATGAATTTTTTCCATTGGCAGGGATCTTTACCATTGGATTTTGGAAGGCTTTTAACAGGATATGGCATCGGTGTCATTTCTTATGTGGTATGCTTTTGATTTATTGTAGTTTTTATCTCCTGATGTAGAACAACAATTTCATCATTAATAAAGTGATCCACTAATCACCTCTTAATTAACAGGTACCAGTTTATATTGCAGAGATAACCCCAACAAATCTTAGGGGTGCCCTATTATTGGTACATCAGGTACTATAGCTCATTCACCTTTGTTTTTAGAGGACACAGTCTAGTGCCTTTTTGGAGATCATTTTTATCAAGTCAATGATTCCTAATTTATGAATCTTTAATGTCATTTTGCTAATTTCAAACAAGCTAATAGTCCTTTTGCGATCATTTTTATTTTTGCCAACTTTTTCAGATCTCGCTAGGTACAGGGATTTTGGTCACTTATGTAGTTGGTGCATTTGTAACATGGAGGACACTGGCTCTAACTGGTAAATTCATCATAATTGACTCACATTAATATAGTAGAAATGTAATTTATACTCTTGATGTACCTTAACTAAAAACAGATAGACAATGCTTTTACAATCTTTTTCTTTTAATTGTTGCATATATTTTGAATTCATAAATGAAAAATCATTTTCAACAAGATTCAATGTGGAAAATTAAGTGCAAAAAGAGCATGATTTGACTGATCTTAGTTGAAGAAAAAGTATTACAGCAAATTTATTAAGAAAATACTTTAATATGAAGCTTACTTGGAGATTGGTTTGGTTGCAGGGATGATTCCATGTATAATTATGATTATGGGCCTGTATTTTATCCCCGAGTCCCCTAGATGGCTGGTAAGATCAAGTTTCTAATGAGAAAAATTCAACATTCTATTCCTTTTCAAAAGCTATTTTCTTTGAAAATTCTTTCACGTAGTATGCGTGCTCAAAGATGGTGTAATCAAAGAACTTTGGTTATATAAAATGTCTTCTATGTGTTGAGCTTAAAGACTTCGATTGAGAGTTCTTGCTAAAGGGACTATGTATTACAGGCACTGGTTGGATGTCAGAATGAGTTTGAAGCTGCAATTCGTAAACTTCGTGGAGCCAACACTGATATTTCTAAAGAAGTGGCTGAAATTAAAGTAATTTGTTCTCCCCTCCATCAATTCTATTGTTTCTCTCATTTTCTCTTTTCCTTCTCACTTCTAAGGTTGTTCATATTTTTTTTCCCCATAGGATTCTTTGTTAATTCTTCAAAACTTCCCAAAGGCTACAGTTATGGATTTGCTTGACAAAAGAAATATGCGTTTGCTCATTGTAAGCTTCATTTAGTTTTCCTTTGCAGTAAATTCTTATTGAAATTAATCTACTTTTCCTATTCAATTTCTCTATCAATATATGAAATGCAGATTGGAGTTGGACTGATGCTGTTTCAGCAGTTGTCTGGATACAATGGAATCGTTTTCTATGCCAGCCAAATTTTTACATCTGCAGGTAACTAATTACATTTTCTAAACTTATTACAATGAAAACCTGCATCTATTTTAATCTTTTGCCTAAATCTTTGATATCCTTAATGTTTGTTAAATTCTCTACTCAGGAGTACCTCCTACTGCTGGAAGTATTCTCTATGCTTGCCTGCAGGTTTTGAACCTTTTCCAGTCTTTTTCTCCATTTTGACCTCTTTTTTACCAGTAATATTCTCTGAATTTCACTAAGATGCTTCATTTCTCATCAGATCATTGTTCTAGCATTTGGTGCGATCTTAATTGATAAAGCTGGAAGAAGACCCCTTTTACTGGTAGACTAATTAAGACCATCAATTCCCAGTAGTATCATGAATTTCTTAAACAATGTTAAGAAATTTTCTGTCTTAGGTTTCTGCATTTGGGGTGCTTCTTGGAAGTCTGTTAACTGCTGCTTCCTTCTTTATGAAGGTAATGTGATTCTTTATGAATGTAATGCGAAATACTGTTTTGAGTCATTTTATCTCTTAACACCTTGAATCTTGTTCTCCAGGAACATAAGTTGGCTCCTGAGTTTGGTCCACTTCTTGCTATCATTGGCATCATGGTAATTGATTAATGGTCCAAATAGTTCTACTATTTTGCCATTATTTTACTCACATTGCATTTGTTAAACCAAATTGATAAACCTTTACGTGCTTTATTCTAAACTTAATGCCAAATTCAGAAATTTGAAAATAACTGAAATAAAAGAAAAAAAGAAGAAGTTAAATATAGATTAAATACATCTGAATGTGCTTCTCATACCTAGCTTAACACAATGCTAAAGCATATCGTGTTCAATTATGTGTTCTTTACCCTGCCAATTTCAGGTTGACATGGGATCATATTGTTTAGGATTGGGCGGAATTCCTTGGATTATGATGTCTGAGGTATATAACATGTTTTGACTTGCGAAAACTGCCATTTATTTTGGGACAAAACACAATGTACCAGGAAAAACATGAATTGAATGACCCTTAATTTAGTCCAAATTGCTTTTCCTTGCAGATATTCCCAATCCAACTAAAGGGCATTGCAGGCAGTATTGTGACATTGGCCAGCTGGGGCTGTTCTTGGGTCATATCCTACTGTTTCAACTTCCTCATGAACTGGAGCTCATATGGTATGTCCCTACATGTCTTCCATCTGTTTTCACACATTCAACTGTTGCAAAAGTTACCTTATTATCTTTGTCTAGTATAAAAGTGTCTCGCTGAAAATCCCTTGTTTATTTTCTATTGTGTATGCAATTCTTAGGCACATTTTCTGTATTTGCTACTTTCTGTGGAATTGCCATCGTGTTCATCTACAAGCTGGTACCTGAAACAAAAGGCAGAACCTTGGAAGAGATTCAGACTATTTTAAATTCACAAGGGATGGTAGAATAAACCTGTTAAAGAAATCTGTACTTGTGACTGGTTTTTGTGTGTGGTTATTACTACGCACAAAATTGTTTTTAATCTCTTATCTAATAAAGAGTTGAGTTGTAATAAAAAATGCTTGAGGAGATAACTACTATGGTACAACCTATGATTTGTCCCATGTCAGGCGGGAAGTAGACGTTTTAACGCTTTGTTTGGAAGTGTTGGATTATTATTATTATTATTATTTTGTCTTTTTAATTGTAAAAATATATAAATATTAATTAAAATTAATTAT